GTGCTTTTTTAATGACTGTAGAACATTTCTCTTGAGTCTTTATGGAAATTAGGGGATTCGTTGTGAGTTGGAGCCAGACTAAAAACTGGAAGGGATATGGGGAACCAAAATAACCTTAAATATGGAAATGTACCTAGTTCCATCACGGTAAGGGAACACTGGTATAAGAAACGATGATGTTCAGGGTTTCTTCCAACAAAGACCACAAAAAGTGATGCCCAACTTTTCACTAAGGGCTTGGATGAGACAGCATTTTGCCTGCAAGGAGAATGATTTGAAGAAGAAGGGAGATGGAGAAGCCAAGAGAAAAATGTTCACAAACTTTTTGTAAAGGATAAACAGATCCACTGGGGCATGCAGTTACAGTAATAGGAAAAATGCAGAAATAAACTGACTTTGGACTCCATCCTGCCATAATGATTGATGTATTTAATTTGTTGTTCATTCATTCCAGTTGTGTACAACTCTTCCATGATCCAATTTGTTTTTTTTGTTTTGTTTTGTTTTGTTTTTGGCAAAGACACTATAATGGTTTGCCATTTCCTTCTTCAGCTCATTTTATAGATGATAAAACTGAGGCAAACAGGGTTAAGTGACTTGCCCAAGGTCAGACAGCTAATAAGTGTCTGAGGCCAAATCTGAACTCAGAAAGATGAGTCTTCCTGACTCCAGGCCTAGCATTCTGTCCATGGTACCACCTAGCTACCATATTATTTAAGTAGTAGTTTAGAAAACAAAACAAAACAAAACAAACAAATTATGATGTGGATAATGGACTTTACCAAAGACTTTTATTAAAATCCCTAAAAACTCTCTCCTTTGAATTTTCACAGGACCTACAGGCAAATATTAACTCTCCTTTCCAGATGAAGAAAATTAAGCACAGCAAGATAGCATACAGAGTTGAAAGCTAGCCAGAAACTACGAAGTTGAGTACAGCATTTAGGCCTCTAATTTTTTCTACCACTAAATCAGACTCCATCTCTATAAAGACTCTCACTTCAAATACTCTGCCCAACCTATTCCTCCCCCCCCCCAACAATAGCCTTTAAAATCTACTCCAACAGCAGTGAAAAGCCTAATCATTGTAGGAGTGTTTAAATGTGGGCTTCCATCCATGATGGAATGAGAGCGTGGGACTTCTAAGTGGAACAAGTGTTTTTGTGCCCATTCACAGCTGCCAAGCCAGTTGAACTGAAGGGGTTAATATGGAAGGCGATTGACCTGTCACTCTGGAGTGCTCCCGGTCCTTTGGAAAAGCTGTAAGTTGAACAAAACCATTGGTCTTCTCAGACACCAGATAGATAATGCGCAGCACAAGTGTTCTTATTAGCTGCTGACGTGCAAGGCAGTGTAGCCAAGCAGCATTTGCAGGGTCCTCATCTTGACAAGTTTATAGGCACTTCAGCATTAATAGTATGACTGCCAAAAGAGCTTCAATACCTACTCAAGTGTGCTTTCCAAATGAAACACATGCTTTTTTATTTAACCTGTAAAACTCTTTTGGTCTCATTCACAGAACCAGTCACTTAAATCATTCTATTACTTGCTTAGAAGCAATAAGGGCAAGATTTGGTTTTTCCTTTTTAATTATAGCAAATGAATAAAAATCAACATATAGCTTCAGCTACAATGACCCAGTGTGCTGAGCCATCTTATGACACTAGTTAGTTGGTTAACTTCTTCAGTTTGGGTTTGACAAAGAAGTGTTTGAGGTGGGGTTGGGGGAAAAATCAATGACCTCTGTGTGTGTGTGTGTGTATACATATGTGTATATGTGTGTACTGTATATGTATACCCACATACATAATACATATATACACGTATATGTATGCATATTATGATACTCCTGGGCTAGCAGTTTTAGATGATTTTTAAAAATCTACCTAAAAAGATTCTAAAAACTTTTCACATGTCATATCAATAAAGAGTGGGTGTTGGAAACATCCTTATTTGTCCAATGAAAACCTTCTTGTAGATTTTATCTAATTTTTTTTTTAATAAATTAATCTTCAGGGTTAGGTTAACAAAGTTATCTGAGACATGCAGATGTGGGGATTAGACAAGATTAAGGTGTGGCTCTTCTTACTAAATTGCTGTAAAAGTTATAGGTGGTATTTGATCTGTAAGTATCATATTTATAAAAGGGAACTTTCCCTTCCACTTCAATAGAAGTATTAAGGAAAACAACTTTGATTATTAAACATGAAACACTTCCCAGTCTTAAAGAGCAATATAAGTGCTTAATTTTGTTAGTACTAATTACAATGCCAGTAGAAATAGAGTATGTATGCTTCCATATTTTGCAAGAAATTCTAGATCAATTGGCATTCAGAATTGCTCTTGAATAAACATTATATGCAAGCAAATGTCATGGTTAAAGTTCTGAGCAAGATGGGACTGAACTTTCCATGCTCAGTATTACTACTGCATTAAAAAAAGAAAGAAAAAGAAAAGAAAAAAGGACTACCTGGTCCCTAAGCAGGTGACACAGTTTATCTTTGCAAGGGAAAGTGGAAAATGTGTAAGGGAATGAAGGGAGCCAGACTTAGTGTATGTGTGTATACATATATATTACACATGTTTACAGTATATATACATAATATATATGTGCATATTACATACATGCACATGAAACATTGTTATATATTATTACATATTATACTATCGTATATTGATATATATTAAAGTTAACAGGGAATTACAACCAAAATGTGTAAATGATAAGACCTAGTTGCCTTCCATGAGCCCAAGTCACCTAGGTAGAACAAATTACACACTAAGGTAATAAATAAGAGGTGGCATTGGGTAGTAGATAGAATATTGGACCTGGGAGAAGGAAAAGATGGGTTTGAATCCTGCCTCAGACATTTACTGGTTGTGTGATCCCAGGCAATTCACTTAAGTACTCTGGGCCTCAGTTTCCACATCTACAAAATGAAAAGGTTGGATATAATGAAGGTTCGTTCTAGCTCTCAAGATATAGTATGATCCTATGAAAGAATCTGTGGGATGTAAATGCTTCATTGTTAGTGATCTCTAAGAAACTATAATCAATGGAACAGGGATCACTGGACTGGAGATAGTTCAATATTCTCCCAGTTTTCAAATGTTTGGGGCGGGGGGCCTGAGAAGAGATGGATTATTTTGATGTCAATTCTTGCTATAAATTTGGAATGCATTAAAGGGGCAATTTGTGGGCACTTAGAAAATTAAGAGATCACTAAGACCTAGCATGAGTTCATTATTGGGCTACTAAATCAGGGGAGAAAGTATAATTGGAGTTCAGCAAGATATCTGACAAATCTATCACGGTATCTAAGGGTATAACATGAGGAAATATAGACTGAATAAGAACATTCAGTTGGATTCAGAACTAGTTGAGTAAGGCCCAAGAATCTTGATTAATGCAACCAGTAATATCTCAGCGTTCTATCCTTGGCATTTATTCCTTCCTAATTGAAACCCCACAGTGAAGTATCTTGCTCAAGGTTAAAGTGCTAGACAGTGGTAGACTTGGGACTACCATCCCAGGGGGGTATCCTAACTCTTCCTCCAGTTACTTTCTCACAAAACCACATTGATGCTGAAGAATCCCCTCAGGTTTGAAAACTAAAGGGAAGATGTCATTCAATTTCTTTTGTCTAGCACCCAATTTTCTTTTTTTTTTTTTTTTTTTTTTAATTTTAGGCAATTGGGGTTAAGTGACTTGCCCAGGGTCACACAGCTAGTAAGTGTCAAGTGTTTGGTCTGAGGCTGGTTTTGAACTCAGGTCCTCCTGACTTCAGGGCTAATGCTCTATCCACTACGCCACCTAGCTGCCCCACACCCAATTTTCTTTATAGAATTATTGACTATTTACTTTTGAGGCAAGTGTTGATTTTTTCAGTTGTAGTTCATCTCCTCAAAAGATATTTCTAGCCATCATATTCTATACCCTGAGACTCCATATCCATATTTTATCAGTATAGACCATTCTTAGTCTTCTTTTATGGACCCAGGTGACGTTTACATACTGCTTTAGGTTTTTGCTTGCATTATGTTATCTGAGCTTTGAATTAACTCTATGGTATAGCCAGTGAGGGAAAAAAAAGTGTGACTTCCATTTTTCAAATGAGAAAGACTTCAAGAAGGTAGTAAGACTAGACCACACAAAGCTTACGTGTTTAAGAGCTGGGTCTTATAGTCAGTTTTTTGTTCTCACTCCAAAATCAGCGCTCTTTCCCTTGTATCATGGTCAAATACCATGTAAAAGCTAGTACTGTATTAAAGCAATTTCTAAATGTTTCCTCCAGTTAAAGTATCTTGTAAATTTAATGTGACGGCAATTATAGACAGAAAAGACAGGGCCACCAAGAAGTGTATGAAAGGTGTTGTATGTATCCAGAATTTTGAATTCTTGGTTGGACCAGATGACCTTTGAGGGGTCTTCCAGCTCTAGATCTTCTATAATTCTATGCAGGTTTATGATCTTAAGTAGTCAGCTCTGGTATGGCAGATAGAGTGTAGGGTACAGAATAAGCAATATCTAGATTCAAATCCCACCTCTGACACTCATCACGTTTATGACTAGTTTTAAGCAGGCCACTTAATGTCTATCTGCCTGAAGCAACTCCCTGGGACTTAGTAAATCAGAGGAGGTTCTAATCTGTACCTGCCATAGACATCTCCTCAAAAGGCTATATTCATCTCATGGCTACTACATAACATTTTTAATCTGAGGCCTTCCTAAAAAGTTATCTAGTAGTTCCAAGTCATAGGATTATCTTTATAGGCAAGTGCTCTGTTGGTACTTCAATATATCAATCCCCTTGGGTAAGGTCAAATTTGGACTCCCCTTAACCTGAATTCTACTTCTGCACAGTCCATTTCACATTTCATAATTTTCTTTCAAATTAAATGTCATTTGTTCATTTAGCTTATAATCAAAAGAAGAAAAAAGTACAACACTTAAAAGAAACAAAAGCTTATTTGATGTTAAATGAAGAAGTGACTCAGTATTCTGGTAACATTCATTTTATAAAATACCTTACAAGAACAGATAAAGTACTTGAGGTTACATAATAACCAGAATTGGAAAAGAACGCTGAATAAAATATAAATTAATTGAACACATAACTATATTTGCCACATGTTAGACAAATTTTTTAAAGTATTTTTTTTCTTTGCTGATAAAATAGTTATTTGGAAGAAAACCCTTCAATATGCACTCGATTTCTGTCTTTTTTTCTAAAACTTTTCCTAGAAGCTTTAAATTCCAGGTTAACAGACAGTACCTGAAACTATTTAAACTATGCTGTAGTTTGCTTCCAAATCTGTCAAGCTTAAGACACAAATTAAAAATATAACCAAGTCAGATACTAAGTGCAAAGTAAAGCTTCAAGTTGAAAATCTGAGAGAAAAAAAATTCCAAACAACTACAGGAAATGCTTCTGGTGCGTAAAAAAATTCACATTATGAAGAAATCTTTGCCAAGTGTTCTTGGAATGTGAAATACTGACACAGTTATAAAAAGTGGGCCCTTGGGAGTTACGATCAGGGCTTTAATGACCGCTTGCAATATGTGAAGGGACAGGAATAGGAAAGAAGTAAGAGTAAGAGCCATCTCTTTGGAAGGGGGTTGGGCTGAAGCTATGCCTGGACGCTACTCTGTTTAACTTTTACAGAGTCTGGTCAGGATCTAAATCTTGTTTTCCTACCAGTACAATAACAGACATAAAAAACAAAGAAACAGCAAAAGCTGGAGATTAGTAAACTGGAAAACCAATGGGGAAAGTCTGCCCACAAAAAACCCCACAGGAATTTAAATTTCATCCACTCACCCTTTTATCATACAGGACACTGATCAAAATAATTCTGTAGGTATTTTTTGACACATAGAGAAAATATAGATATACCTTCTTAGGTTACAGGCACATAAAATCTAGATCATTTCTACAGAACAACAGAAACACAACTTTTTATTAGGTAGAGGGAGTCTTTAGTATCTTAGATATTTTCAAAATAATCTGATGTCCCCTGTAAAAGAGGGCAACAATTCTTTCAAACAGCATCTCATATTTAAGGTAATGTTTGATGTATCTCTTTTCTCTGTTGCTGTTTCTCAGTCCTTTTGAGATGATAAAACTAATGCAAACTGTTGAACACAAAAGTGGACATTTTGATCAGTCAAGAAGTTTTCTGTGCACGACAGTAGTTTTCACTTTAAAAAACAGCACTCACTGATTTGAAGATCTAGTTCAAATTTATTAAATGTCGAACTATGTTCTCTGACAGATATGTGAAGGCTCACTTTAAGTTCTGAGAACCTGAAACCTCTGGAGGTTGTAATGCATTATTTTTTTTAAATCATTTCTATGAGGGCAGTAGGAACTGTTATTCTAATAAAGAAACCACTTGTATCTTAATAGCACACACAATAAGAAATTTCTTTAATGTGGCCAACATATGATATGGTATTCCCTTTATGAGGTAACCAATGCACAAAACTGAAAGCTGTGTATGCCATCAAAATAAAAAGTGAAGAAATTAAGTTACTGCAATTCAGAAGAGGGAGAATAAAAACATGGCCATTTGGGGCTTTGATATGCCTATTCACAGGATGAACACAGAATGCAAAAAGTAAATTCCCCTTTCAGGCCTACCATTAGTTGAGAGACATCTGCAGAAACCAAGCGACAGAACTGAAGATCCCAGACTTGTGTCTGCACAATCTCAAGTCTCCGACTGCCTCCTATCATGGGACCCAAAGATTAAAACTAGATATGTACTTCTCTGAAAAGGATTGAGCTTACGATATGTTTGCTCTACCCCCTGCCACCAACTATGCTGGGAACATTAGAATTACTTTTGAGTAATGCTAATATCTATTGGGCTTGCTTTTTATTCAACATTTTGTATTGGATGTTTGGCAAATACTCTTTAAAATGCTGTAGACTGCAGGTATATTTATCCCTGGTGTCAGGCTTCCTAAGTGGGATATCTTTTACAACATGCTATGCTGATGAAGAAGTAGAATGCCAAAAGAAGACACAAACTAACAGCAGGATTAGTTTATGTGAGAAAAAGAATATTCTTAGGTGGGACAGGCAATTTAGAATGAAGAAAGGAGGTCATTGATTTAGCTTTATCTTATTTCCCATCATTCTTTCTGTAAGTCAAGGGAATATGAAAACAGCCCTGAAGTCCAAAAAGAGCTATTTGAAAAATATTCGGTCTTTTACAATTAGGGGCCATTTTTGCAAACAAAAGATCAGACAAATAACAATGAAAGATTAGTCTAGGGTCAGCTAAGTGTCAGTTTGTGCAGTTCCTAAAATGGTGCAGGCTATGCGTAGCAGGTACTTAATACTTGCCAGCCAACTGATTAAAATTTGCAAAATGGCTTCTGAGGAACCACCTTTGTATGATAAGACCAAGAAATTTTTGGATACTTTCACCTAATTAGAAGGAGCAATGAGGGAGTGAATCTCCAATTAAATATGGATTCTAATTTGAGTGCATAAGGAGGAAATTACTAGGAACTTTGGAAAAAAATATTGCCACAGTAGCATTAGCACTTAACAGTGCATCAAAGATTTAAAGTTTCTAAGCTAATATGAACTGGTTCCTGAAGCCATTATGAACCAAGTATAATCATTCAAACAGGAAATGAACTGTATTCCACTCTGGGAAAAAGGTTTGACCATAATTTTATGTGAAAATTATTAATATAATTCAAAGAGGAGGTCCCATTACTCAGTCTGCCCAAAGGTAGTGCAGGCATAAATAGCAGGTGACCTCATTAAATAATAACTTCAGTACAGCATTATCCTATGCATTTGGATTTCATCAATATCTGCAGCAGTTGTATGGCGATTTCCCTTAGGTTTTTGCAGAACTGTGATGACCTAGATCAGGATTTGGCAAATGAAACATCCCATATCTACAGTAAAAAGAAAGGTAGTTCTCCACCACTGCACAAATACCTCAGAAAGGATAGTTCCTTGATAAAATAATGCTTTATACATTCAGATTGCAACCCCCTCATACCCCCCACCGCCCCAAACTGATGGTTTCAGAAGAAAAGACTCAGTAGTGAAGGCCACATACTTTTTTTTTTTTGCATTTGTTCACTAAGTTAAAATTCAAAAACCATTAACACATATCATAAATTGGAGAATCAGAAATGGGCACGTGGAGGGAAAAATCAAATTGAAATAAAACCTGATGATTCTGATGTGGATGGGAGAAAAGTTACTAGGAAATTCTACAGCAGACCGAACTACACTATGAAGGGTCACATAAAAGAACACAGTACAGATATCAAATTAAACAAAACAAAACTGTAACTTGCCAACTTGTAAACAAGGAAAAGTATTTCACAGATTCAAAGTTCAAGGGAAGTAAACTTCTTTAAATTATTTTTTTTTTGTCAGTTCAACCCTGATTTAAAAGTATGGCTAGCAAAAATATTGTAAGCCGCACGCAGCCCATTTACATCTTCAGTACAGCAGCTGTCTTCCTTTGATAAGCTGCACCTGCTAGGCTCTCTTCTAAGGACGCAAAAGAGAGAAACAACTTTCTCTTCTGAAATACATCTTGCATTTGCTCTCACTTCCACATTCCCAGAATTCCTCATCTGCTGATTTACATCTGAGAGATTCAGAATCCAGGCTGCTATAGATTGAGCCTCGGAGAAACAGGAGGAGGGAAGGCAAATTCTCTTAGGATGCTACGGGCCACGTCAACATTGTTCTGGGCTATCTCCAGGGCTCTTTTCACCTCTTCAAAGGCATAGCCCTCTCCCATAAGTTTTGCAATTTTTGCATCGACATTTTCCAATGCTGCCTCAGGACCGTGGGTTTTTCTGTGGTGAATTTCTGGTGCAGTCTTGCGGGGGCGTGGCTTAGGGGGTCTGGCAGGAGCTTGTGAACCATCTGTGTTAAAAAAAAAAATTGATATATAATGGAAAAAATAGGGCTGATCCCCTTCAAGGTACTAATTTCTCAATAACATGGTACAATTAATTCACAAAAGCTCGAAGCATTTTACAAATAACATTTCATTAAATCTTCACAATGCTTCTATAGAAGACTAGAAAAGGGGAGGAAGGCAGTTATTATGCCCATTTAAAAGATGAGGAAACCAATGTTACTGTAAATAAATAGTAGAACTGAGAAAATAACATCAATTCACAATTTTGTTTTCTAAGGCCACAAGACTGGAAAACCAACCAATTAGGTGTCCATGAGATAAAAACCCTTATTTCCCTCAGGTGAGCACTATAGCCAGGTCACTACAAAGAGAAAACAAATCTAGCAGGAGATTATGTTTCTCCAGAAATGCTCTCTAGCTAAGTTACTGTGGGATCAAATGAAATACTTTTTTAAAGTGCTTACCTCAGTGCCTGGCACATAGTAGGTGCTATATAAATGCTTATTCATAGAGGTAACCTTATATGACTGCAAGGTCTCAGAGACTGGAGACAAAAACAAAAGAAAAACCCAACGGATTATTGAATCTACTACTGTTCACAGCAGAGACCCTTTATCCAGACACATCTTTTAGGGTCTCCTCTTTTGTTTTTCCATTTCATAGGATCATGGATCCTGAGCTGAAAGGGACCTCAGAGGCCCTGTGGTCTAATCCTCTTCTTTTAAAGATGAAGAAACTGAGGCCCAGGGACAGTAATAAATCACTTGCCTACGGTAACAGCAGCACTGTCAGCGGTAAGATCTGAACCCAGGTCCTCTAATCCTAGAACCAGAATCCATTGTATTATGCTGTTTCCCTATTGGTTAGAATTCATGTTTTGATGATGACTGGGGGGGAAAAAAGTCAAAACAGTGTGTTTCCAATTTGCTTTAAGTCAATGGAACACGATGACTGCAACCTTGGTGATTTGCCCAAATTCATTTAATTCATTCTCCACCCCCAGAACTGAAAACATTCAGAAGTCTTGTTATAGGAAAAATACAAGGAATAGAAATGTAGGGAGTAAAGAGTACATTAACTTAACTTTAAGTTGATTCCCATGATGAAAGCAGTTTGTCAAAGTTAAACAAGTGACAGGGAAGCCCGAGAGAGAAGAGCAACGTTAACAGCATAAAGAAAATTAATTACAAGCAAAAATCCAACACTGATCTCTAGGGCATGATCTAGCTGACTTGAGAGAGCACTTTAATCAGCTATTTCTAAGAATACAAATGGACTAGTCCAGACTAAGAAAGGGTTAAAATGATTACAAATAAAATTTTAAATTATACCCACCCCACCAAATATTACAATTTGTTTAAGTAAATGGAATATTCTTAACAGCAACTTTAAGAGTAAGAAAAACAATAAGACTAATAATCGCCACATTAGTATATTTCTACTAAAATATGGCAAAGGCACAGGGAATTGACTAGACTCATTCGGTCTCAACCATGGCACTACTGAGGCCAGAAAATAAGTCTCCTGGCTCTCATTTCAGTCAGTCTCAATTCTCTTATATTCTTCCAGCCCAAGTGAACACTACTGGCTGGGGGGACAAGTAGAAGCTGCTTAATGAGTCACTGTTTTTAATGATATTTCCATTGAAATTAAATCACTCTAAAATTATTTAATGTTTTCTTCTTTCCCCTCTCCCCCACCTCCTTTATAACCAGGAGTAGAACCATGATGGTTTTCTACCAAAGATAAACTTTTTGTCACTTATAAATTCAAGCAAGATCAAGATAACACACTTTCAAAAAAAGGCCTGAGAGACCATACAATAACAACAACAAAAACAAATGATGATGCTAAGGGGATTCGGAATAAAACTGAATAACTGTTCAAGTTTTAATATTTTTGTTTTATGATTATGATTAAGACTATATGGGTATACACACATATGAAAATTTCTAGTTGCTATTAAAATCTGTTCTGTTCATACATTTGTAATCACCAATGCTTATTATGAATAAATTGCTAAACACATGAATTTCTTTGTTTTGAGGTTCCATTAATTTTCCTATTAACTATTTCCATTATAGTTAGCATAGTGGACAGAGTGAGGGACCTGGAGTCAGGAAGACTTGAGTTCGAACATAAACTTAGACACTTGCTAGGTGTGTGACCTTGAGTACAAGGTTCAGTCTGCTATCTCATCTGTAAAATGGGAATAATTACAGTACCTGCCTCACAGAGCTGTTGAGAGGATAAAGTGAGATGATATAGGTGAAGCACTTTGCAAAATTTAAAGTATGATTCAGTTTCTAGCTATTATATGTCATGGAAAGATGGACAATGAATTATCCTTCAGGTTTCTAATTATTTTCCATAAACTATAAGAAAAAAAATTTAAATCAAACCTTTCTTTGGTTGGGATCAATTACAAAAGAACTCATTCTGTTCTAATATCTTGTCTTTCTGAGGCAGATGTCAGACACAGAGGACATGAAGCAGAACCTGAAGATACTTTGCCATTATCTTTCTAAGCTCGTTTCTTGTAATATTCATTTATTGTGTGCCACGTATTAGAAAAGTATGGTTCTAGTGGGGATGAGGTATATATACATATATGTGTGTATATGTATGAAAAGGAGAAACTGCAGCAAAGGCTATGGATTTTTGGATTTTGGTTTTAGTCTTCAGCTGTATAAGTACTGCTGTCATTGGAAAAAAAATGCCAGTGTGTAATAATCAACAGGAATGCCTTGGTAAGAGGCTCTAGAATTTTCAGATGAAATGTTTTATGCAAGAGAAAAGATTCTGTACTTATACAGTACGATGATCAAGTTTTAAGTAACCTTACTGAGCACTGGGAGGAAAGCATTTTAGGAAAAATAAAAACAAAGTAATTCTTGTAACTTTCAATCAATTAAAATACTCGAAATTTCACTATATGCTGGATTTAAACACACAGATTTACCTGAAATATCAATTGGAGAATATGGTTTCAAAGAAACTCAAGTAAAATTAAGATTTTCAAAAGATAAGGCTTCTTCTTTCAAATCAGATTGTTTTATCCACTAGCATAAAACATTTAATGATGATAGCAATATAAATGATAAGAGTAAGAATGATAGCCAGCATTTCTTTAAGCACTTACTATGCATCAGGCACTTTACAAATATTATCTCATTTGATTCTCACAACTCTGGGAAGTACATCCTATTATTATTCCCATGTTACAGGTGAGGAAAGTGAGACAAACCAAGGTTAAGCGACTTGCCCAAAGTCACACAGCTAGTAAGTATCTGAACTCATTTCTTCCTGACTTTAAGCCCAGTGCTCTAATGACTTTACCACTTAGCTATCTCAATGAACCCTCTGGTCTTCACTGCCCAGTAATTAAATTTCCACTTATTTTAAAACAGAACTAATATCTCCTTTAAGATCTCCACTAATTCTCAGAAGTTGCTTTGTATCATGTGCTGCATGTTGGACTATGAAGTAAGATGCAACTAAAGCTGCCCAGCTTCATCTGCTCTGAGAGATGTTGGCATCTAAAACAGGCAATTCTCACTATTTTATTATGTAAATTCCTTTATAATAATTGAATTCAACAGAATGTTTTAAATCTTGATTTAGGAAACTAATGGATGATTTAAAAAAAAAGGAAAAAAAATACAAAACCCTCATAGTCTATATTAGTTCATTTATTTTTAAAATGAACTTTGATTATCTTTCATTTTTATAAAGATAGAATGTCTATTAAATATCCCACTGTATTCCTCTTACCAGCCTCTGCGAAAGAGACATGGCTTAAAATAAAGAAGGGGGAAAAAAAAAAAAGCTTGATACTCTACAGAGTGTTCTAAAGCCATGTTCCTTCATCACCTCTGCAATGACTCAGAGGTAAGTGTCTTCTTAAATCTCTTCTTTGGGGCAGCTTCATCCATGTAGCTGGGTACTATTTATTTCCTTTTGAAAATGTAGTCATTCCTGTACGGTAAGAGAATAGAATCTGATACGATTAATTTTTTTGGGGGGGGGTAAGGCAGTCAGGGTGAAGTGACTTGCCCCAGGTCACAGAGCTAGTAAGTGTCCAGTGTCTGAAGTGAAATTAGAACTTAGGTCCTCCTGACTCCTGGGCTGGTGCTCTATCCACTGTGCCACTTAGCTGCCCCTTGGTACTGCTGAATCTTAAATCTCCACTACACCACTAAAATTATGCATATTCTTGGGTAAACCATTTAGCTTCTTAATATTTTCTACTTATCACAGCTATAAAATGGGAATGTTACCACTGATGACTCTTCAGTAGAGGTAGTAGGGATAAATTAATACCATCTGCAGTGTAAGAGCTAAGGAGACTATTAACACTAGAGGGCAATAGTTTCATACCTAGATTAGTAATTACTAGCCCCCAAAGCTATGGACTAAGAAATATTGCCAATTATTGTAAAGGTCACGTGAGGAAGGCAAACACAAGATTTATTATAAATCTCTAATTCTACACGAAATTCCCAGCCAAGCACAGATTCAATAACCCAGAACTGTTAATCTGAATAAATGTAAAGATTCCTTTAAGAATCAGGGACTCTGAATTGATAATTACAGTTACGTTTAGCAAACCAACTGAACAGCCATTTCTCTGCCACAGCAGCGTTTGTGAAGAGCTCTGCGCCAGCCACCAGATGTTCCACACGTACAGTCTCATTTGTTCATTTTTAACAATGTCCCTCAAGAGTTTCAAGTATCTGACATCACTTGATCATGCAGATTAGTGGAAAGGTGCAATGACACAGATGTGAAAAACTTTAATCACCCCCCAATTTTTTTTTCATGTAGCTTTTGTCATATGTTATGTAAGACTTATAATGACTTTTGATTTTTTTTTTAACATAAAGTACTTATAACACCAAACAAATGGCATCCTTTTTAGTCACCTTGGAAGCTATCTAGTGACGCCAACACAATTTTTATCACCCAGGCCAGAGCTTCTTAAATTTTTCCACTCATGACT